TACACTTCACAATCTGTTACTGTCACTAATGATATAATATTCATATATCATACAAAATATTACTGTCACTAATAATGTAATATTCATATATCATACAAAATACACGTCACAATCTATTACTGTCAATAATGATGTAATATTCATATACCATACAAAATACACTTCACAATCTACTACTGTCACTAATGATGTAATATTCATACATCATACAAAATACACGTCACAACCTATTACTGTCAATAATGATGTAATATTCATATATCATACAAAATACACGTCACAATCTATTACTGTCATAATGATATAATATTCATATATCATACCAAATACACTTCACAATCTATTACTGTCACTAATGATATAATATTCATATATCATGCAAAATATTACTGTCACTAATGATGTAATATTCATATATCATACAAAATACACGTCACAATCTATTACTGTCACTAATGATGTAATATTCATATATCATACAAAATACATGTTACAATCTGTTACTGTCAATATGTGTAGCTTAAATTTAATTTGTTGCTTATTCTGAGTGCTCTGATGTCGTATACAATGGCATAACTCGTGGTACAAGTGCTAATAGAAATCTTTCTTTTCAACAGCAGGTTAGGATTAACAACACAATGTACGGTAGAGGCAGTCAATGCAAACGAGTGTCAAAGTTCATTTACATCAAAACAATGAAGACTGCATCGAGTACAACGGTGAATATACTGTACAGATATGGAATAAAACATAATTTGACTGCACCACCTGGCCCTTTGTGGATATATCCGAATGACAATGGAACGAGGCTGGACATAAATAAATATACGTGTTCTAATTTCACTGGATTTGATTACATCGCTAACGATATACGCTATAACAGACCATTGATGGAAGATGTTATACCCAACGCCAAATATTTTACTATTCTGCGAGATAACTATACACGATTAGAATCCGTTTTCAATTTTTTTAACTGTGGACGTGAAATGGATAAGCATGCAATTGCTAGCCCCTTCATGCATTACATACAACATTCATTTAATTTCTCAAAACAGGCATACCCAGCGTGTACTCATCAACGAAGAAATGGTATGATGTGGACACTGGCATTGGATTATGGCTATCAAGACAATGACACTGCCATACAGCTTAAAATTGATCAACTGGATCAAACATTGGACTTAGTTATGCTGGCGGAATATTATGACGAGTCTTTGATTTTGCTGAAAAAAATAATGTGCTGGAAAGAAGACGATATTTTGTATTATAGTATTAACGTGAGAAGAAATAAACTAATAGTAAAAACTATTAGTCCAGAAATCAAAAATACAATTGCGAAATATAACAAGGCAGATATATTGTTATATCAACATTTTAATCGTACTTTTTGGGAAAAAGTTGAAAGTTATGATGGACATTTTGATGAAGATCTCAAACGATTTCGATCAAGACTAGATAATGTTTCCAAGGAGTGCTCACAACGAAAAAAACCTACAGGAATTTCTTGCTGGCAATTACATGCAGAGGTGCCTCCACTGCGACAATTAACATTAGAGAAACAATTGGAAAGGTGGAATTGCTGAACAGTATTCCAAAGAAAAGAAAAGAATGTAC